TGATCTCAAGCTTGATGATATACTTCATCTTATCGTTCAAATATGCCGACTTGCGAGGTTGAAACCCAGCTTGTATGAGCTCCATGGCTTGTTCGTGCAGACTCAGCGGGCCTATTCAACCATATTAGCCGAAAGGAAGGAAGATCGCAAACGAAAGCAAAAGACACGCACCATCACCGAGATCCCTCCCGGCCCTTCCATCTTCATCCGCCGCCCCAAGCACGTCCTCCTCCTCCTCCACACTAGGCACCAACTCATCTCTCTCCCGATCAACATACCCAAGCGCCCGACTCCTCCCTCCAGCAATCCTCTGTTTCCTCGCACCACTAACATTCCCCACCCCATTCACCGCTCTCCAAAGCTCCACCATAGTCCCATCACCCTCTCCCCCCTCACACCACTTCAACAACGGCCTCACAGCCGCCTCCAACCCCTCGACCATCAACTGTACAAACACCTCATCCGGGACGCCGTTGTACGAAAGACACATGATACTCTGCTCCGACAGTGTCACCCGACCCTCGGCCTGCGCAGGATGCGAAGCGCGAAGCAGATCCAAAATGCGATGGACGCGCGGCATGCCAGTAGTCTCAGGTTGAAAATGGATCTTGAGTTGTGAATCGCGAATCCATATCCTCGGCGGGGCAGTCGGGTCCGTGTCCGTGGGATGAAGCGTCCACAGACCTTTGGCGCCGCCGATCCGCGCTTGGATGGCCGTCGGTAACGAGCTGTATGGAACGTGCTTGGTGATGAGAACCATCGCGGCCCGGTTGATGAACCCGCAGCCGTCGGTCATGACTGCAGAGTTGAATTCACATCGCTGCAGGAAGAAGAAAACAGAGAAAGAGCTTACTTTTCTCTGAAGGCGCCTTCCCAGCACCCTCCGGCCAATCGTCCGCCACTGTATCCTGAATACGGAACATGTTCTCGTCCAAAAACTCGAGCACAGGCATCGACGTCGAAAGTCCAAGCGCATATCGCGCCACATACTTGGCGAACGCCTACGAATCCAATCAGCCTCGCAAAACCATCAAACCGCAACTCACCTGCTTCGAATTCATTGAAGGCGGATTATGCCTGCCCACAAACTCCTCGAAACTCCTCCGCCCCAAATCGCCGAAATACTTGTGTCCCGTGCGCTCCCAATCCTGGTTAACCTGCACGAGATACACACTCCCCTTATCCTTGGGCGGAATCGCCACGTACACCCGACCGTTCAAAATAAAACGACGACAAAGAAACCGACGGAGCTCCTCCGCTTCGTACCGCACGATATCCAGCGGGATGGACAGCTGGAGGACAGAATGCGAGCCCAAATCGCGTGCGAATCGATTCGAGCGCCCGCGCCGCGGCTTTTCGAGGGTGATGTGGTAGTCTGCCGCACCGTCTAATTTCGCGAGTCGGAGGGGATAGGTTATCTGGCCACCGTACCAGTTCTGAGGATACGGAGTGCTCGGTCCCATGAGCCCCAAACCCCGGCCTTGTCCTTGAACGAACGCCTTGTGCTCACGATCGACTTCGTTCCTTCGTTACCATGATAAGCTCAAGCACACGTACGAACGAAGCTCACTCACCATAACGCCAAATCAATAACATCGGGCTCAGGTCGCCCGAGCATCATCGCGGCGACCTTTCCCGCCACTTCGGAATTCGACTTTTTGAATCGGAAATCCTGCATCTTGTCCAGGACATCCGCCCATCCCCACTGCTTCCGAGATACCCCGCGCGCGAGCTCCCATTGGACGCCGAGAAGAATACCCTTTGTTTCAAATTCAGACTGCACCTCCTTGGAGTGTGCGATTATGTACGGTGGGAGGGCCGATCCGTGTGTGCCGTCGAAGAGGGTGTCGAGGGGGAAGGCGGTGGAGGGCTCGGGAACGATCGTGCTGGGAGTAATAGCCGCCCTCGGTCGTGTAGATGAAGCTGGTGCGTGCTCGGTCCGATTTTTCTTGCAGGGCGACGACATCTCGGACTCTTCGGTGAGAGTCCGTTTTAGCGGGGACATCTGGCCGATAGAGGACATGGAAGAGCTCGTGGAGGCGGTGGTGAAGAGTGAGTCGGTGGTTGAGGCGAAGGAGGATTGGGTCGACGATGGCCCGAGTGGTCGTGCACTTGGGACGGGGGGAGGGTGCATGGCAGATAAAGTGCGCTGCCGTTGCGGTCCTGTCCAGATCGTTATGGGTTGAAGAGAGATTCAACAGGCGTAGCTTACCTTCACTCGAGTCATCCTAGCAGAGCGTGAGGAGCCTGGGACGAAATGACAAAAAAGCACACGCACCTTGGCCGGACTGGTAAAGAGCGGACCACGGGGTACTATACTACGCTATCAGAGTGGACTTGAGAGACGAAAACCAGCCACGCACGCGCGAAATAGTCGTCGTCACCCGTCTCCCCTCTGTCCTCTAGGCTGAAGTTGTCCAGCGTCCTTGTAATCTTGGTAGAGTCGGTGATCGACGGCGTCCCGGGCTGCCCAACAGCCCCAGGGCGAGCGCGCTTTGTGGGCGGCGTCGAGGGAGGATCTGGCTTCCTCGGAGACGCCTGTTCGACGATGTCGTCGAACTTCTCCCAGTCGAAATCTGCACCGAAGTCACTCGAGTCGTCGCTCCAGTCCTGAGGCGGATTAGGCGGAGATCTGGGCCGACAGGGGCGTGACGCGCACCTGAGACATTGATGAAAGCCTCGGGACTTGAAATACAGCAAAACAAGAGAGGGTCCCTTTGGAGGGGACGACGTGGATGAGAGCGGAAGAGACGCGATGTCGGTGACAGCGTAGCCGAGCGGATCAAAAAAAAATGCCGTCGGTTAGTGGGATTCTGGTCTGAAACGGAAGGCGGAAGTACTTAGTAAACTCTCGTAGTGCGGGGGGCTTTTTAAGGTCATCCTTGACCGGCGGAGACCCGTTGCCACCGCCTTGACTCGTATTACTTTGTTTGAACGCAGCATATTGCCACAAGTCACTGTCCAGTGTCATGCGATCGCGACAGAGTCTAGATCTTCATACATATGAAAAGCCACTAGTCAACGTCCTCAAGAGTCAAATCAACTTCAAATGAAAGCAGGTACCCCTATGGCGTCTGTCCTCTACAACATTTACACAAGGAATTCAACTTGAACCCCGCACTCGCGGAGATTAACCAATACATAACTACTCCCTCTCTACTCACGAAATCAAGCATCCGTCGTCGGCATCAAGAGCGGGACAAGCAACGGCAGCATCATCCCCAGCACGGTTACCCACCACGCACGGAACAAGACACGCCACCCTTCCTCACGAACGATCTGCTTCGCACAATCAACGAGCCCGGTGTACGGCGCCTCGTCCACCCCACGCAACTCCACCACAGGTTCACCATACACTTCGTCTTGAACACCGGCATCTTCAACGGCAGCATCGGCGCGCTGCAGCGTAAGTCTCGTAAAGATCATCCTGAGCGGCGTGAGGAAGATCGTCGCTCCCAACACGATGCTGAAGGACGCGGCGAGGAACGGGAGGCGATGGGCGAAGCCGAGGGGGAGGTGGATGGTCACGACTTGGTGGAGGACAGAGATGAACGGGCCGAGGAGGCCTTCAATGATTCGTGTGGCGAGGAGACCGGGGGCAAGGTACAGACGGAGAGGGCCCGCACGCTCGGAGGGCGAGAGTAGAATGCGGAGCGCATCTCTGGGCGCGAGGAAGCTCAGTTTGTGCGGCGTAGTAATCGCCCTGCGGAGAGGTTGGAAAGGGTTTTGGACATTGAGAACGAAACTCACCGGTTGGTGAGAATTTGCACTGGGATTAGGAGGACAGTGGGGATGAGGGAGAGGGCGAAGGTCCAGACTGCAGTCGCCCATTAGCATGATGTCAATGTCAAATCGACGTCAAGACACGTACTCCACATGACAACCCCTGTCTGTGCGGGGATGTACACCTGGCCATTGGGCAACACCCGCGATCCTAGAGACAGGAACACCGCAACCGGCGACACAAGAACGACCACGATAAAGTTCCCGATGAGATACGGCACTGGAAGGCCCTTAGTATAAGACTTGGATTCTAATTTCTAAATGGAAGCACTCACTAATCCCCTTGAAAAATCCGGGCCATCCCTGCAATCAAACATACGGATCAGGGACTCACTCCAGAAGATTTCACGGAAAAAACGCACCTCAATCCGATGCACCTTTTTCATCATCCTGAAATACCCGACATTTGGCGCGCTCTCGGGACTCAGACCCTCCTGGTCAAGCCCCTGCAGCCTCTTGGGCGTGTAATTCGCGCGATACCGGACAAGCACGCCGATAAACGGTATCACGATAGCGCATATCAGCGCCATGGGTCTGCGGGCGCGCGATGAGCATGGAGGGAGGGGAGAGTCGAGAGATGGCACTCACAAGATCATGGCCGATACAGTGAGGAGAAGGGTGAGAAACCAGACAAAGACGTCGAGCATGGTGGGTGGTGGGTGGTGGGGGAGAGACGTGGGTGGTAACAACTGCGGTCCCGCTACTATATGAGTCCCGTCGCAAGCGCCTGTGGGCGGTGCATCATGGTGATGGTGAGCGCTCAGAGTCAAGAGTAAAGTCGGCAATCACGCCATCAAGAAATGACGGCGTGCCGCATTGAGAGCTGTTCATTCAGTTGAATGTGTTTGCATGGAGACAAACGACGTGGAGACGTTCAGCGCTCAACGTTCAGCCTCGCCTCCGTTATCGTAACTCGGTTTGGACAACGGTTCTTGCGGATGGATTTTCCGATTACACTAGTTGTTTCAGCAACTGGGGTGAGTAATTATTAGGAATGAGCATCGGCGTCGGGATCACTTGTGCAGTCCCCAATCCAAAAAGAGGTCGAAGAGAAGGAAACAAGTGAGGCAACACAATAAAGTCAATCATTGCGATGGCGGGAATCGAACCCAGGCAAATCAACGACAAAGGCCCATAGGAATTGATCGGGAATAGTGCGTGGCCTTGGCGGCGACAGTTTGGGCCATTGTAAGATGGTAGGTAGGTTTAAAAATGTATTCCGATGCGGGGAATCGAACCCCGCGCAACCGCGTCAATATATGCAAGTCTGCCAAATGAGAGGCGGATATGTTACCGATACACCACATCGGACATGAGAGAACGGCGAGTCGTAGGAATCCAATCTAATTATGCGCTCGTCTGAAAATCTAGAAAAAACATTTACACACACCAACCAGTTGTATAAATTGAGAAATGCCGTTGGCCATAGAATGTCGAACAAGTTTCAAAAGAGACAAAAAAAACACCGCCAAAAGCTCAAGGCCGGCGCACGCATTTGGGCCTAGGCGCGCAGTAGTACTGACATCCATAGTGGTTGCAAGCACCGTTCCCCTCCTCTGCCTGTGTGCCTACATTTTCATTTTGTTTTCATTAATATTAGCAGGACTCTTTGAATGGAAAGAAAAGAACTGATGAGTACTGACTGCCAATGAATTTCCAGGCCAGCCGTCAGCCCCTTGCACTTTGTCGCAGTTCTGATGCGGCAGGCAGGTTGTCATTCAGCCCCACAGAACCCTCGTCTTGCAGAGGAGGGGATTCTGGCCCCTGTAAGTTTCCAGCGATTCAGGATCATGATCAGCGGACCAAGTCCGGCTAACTTGTGAAACCAATGAGGTCCGTCGGGCGGAGGAGCACCGTCGGAGAGCAGAGACCCACACAGCTAGGACTGATTTACCTTATCATTTATGCGAGTGTAACAGGGAACGGTCAATCAAATTTCCGTGATTGTCGACGCATAGCCGACCGGCCAACATGGACCCCAGGCCACCGCGGTACCGTTACGGCCTAAGCGGTGACGGAATTGGCACCAATCACTGCCGGCACTCCGCCAGCACCCCACTTGGCACTTGCCCTTGACTTGCCCTCCACCGACGACACCGTCCAACTGGCGAGTAGACCTCCTCACGACCCTTGGCAGCACCGTATACATGAATTGAGTTATTTGATTTTCTGAGTCTTTCTCGCCTCGCTGTTCAGTGTTCTGAGTCCCTCCTCGTTCTATCTCGAGTATCCTAGCCGCTCTATGACTTTTCTGGGAACTGCTCGCCACTCTGCTCCACCAAATTAGAACAACTCGGACCCTGGTAGTACTGCAAGCAGTGAAAACGACGCGCGAAGTTCGTATGGACTCTGAAGGCCACCGCTGCCAGTCACCACCCCTTGACCTGGACTAGTCTTGACTCTGCCTTGACTTCGCGGCATTCTCCTTCAATCCGCACCCATGGGTGTAAATATTGTGCTCAATGGGCCGTGGTCCTTGATCTACCGGCGGTTCATGCCTCTGGCTCTCTCTTGGAGTTCTGCACCAAAATTTCCTAGAAAGTGGCTTCGGCGACGGCCTTGGATGAATAACAGATTCACGCCGGCATTTCAATTGAACAAATTTCGGAAGGTCCTCAATAGCCATTTCTCTCGCAGCATGCAATTACTCAACCCACAAACTCATTCAAGCCAAATTCAAGCTGTCCGCCTTCAGAAGCTTGTACTGCTTTCGAGATGATCTACGACGTGTTGTCGATGTGGCTGGAATGCTAACCGCCAAGGCTCAACAGGAGATCCAACTCAGCGGGGCGTCAAATCCCCTTCGACAACTCTTGGCTCAATTGTCGCGCTGTTTGCTGATGGACGAAGCGGGTTAGCCATCGCCTCTTCCTGCGCTGCTGTCCCAACTCCACTCTGTGAACGTCCTTATATGTGTTCGACCGATGGTGTAACGGCTTTCTCGGCGTCCTCCGCTGGCCCCAGGCCCACCAATGGCATCGCTTGAGTGGGGTAATTGCAGCCCTTGTAAGATATATAGGTCCTCAGTAACGAGTTTCACCTTGTTTCGCAACGTGAATAAACGAGCGTCCCAAACATGATTTCAACGACACCTATCCGCCCGGAGCACTACTACTACATGGTTCAGAGTTTGATTCACCAATCTCGGAATCGGACTCTCGCAGGTGAAAATTTGCGGTTTGAGGCTCTTTGTCTTCTTGGATTTGGGCTTGGAGCTGTCTTCGAGTTCTTTCAACGTTCAAGTTGCGTTGAAGATCCTCTAAATCCCTGGAAATTGACCACCCCTTCCACCCGATTCGAACAGTGGCCGGCGCAGTCGAAGTACTTGTTAGCCCCGAGACCCGCTCATGCCAGATGACGATATCCGACGAGCAGTAGACACTGTGCTCGTTCTTGAACGCCGTCTCCTACGCGATGGCCGCCTGTTGTGATGTGTTGATACGTATGCGAGGTAGGCTCAGGTAGCAAGATGCCAGCGAAGCCGCGTGCGGCGTGCCACACATCGCCGCCACGGCGCCACAGCCTCTGGCGCCATGTAGACGAGATCACCTTCTTGTATCTGGATGCAGATCAACATTGAACTCGTCGTGTTGCTCCGTAGGGTCCCTATTATAGTACGTGAGCTCATTCAAAGAGGGGTTCATCGGGGACGGCCAGTTGTGTATGGAGCACTGAACCATCCAGTTGAGTGATTCCTGCTGAAGCAGAGCTTTGGTACAGTGAGCCTAGAAACTCTTGAACACTGGATGGTTGATATCATTGGAGTTCAACAAACGGTGCATTCAATGTTGAATAATCGGAAGATATGACTCTACAATCCCTGCAGTGAGTCTCTCATAGTATCAAGGATGTCACGTCGTCGCGACTCCCAACTGAGTAGAAATTTACATAAATGAATGATAATGTACGCACCATACAGAAGGCAAATACCACTTTGTATGGGTAATTCTTGAGCGGTGTGACACCCACAACTTAGAAAAGCATCTGAAATCAAGTCCAACTCGCAATAAACACTCATGAAGATACGAGCGCCAACTGACTGCCGCCGGCACTGACGCCGACTCGTCACTGGGCCTGTTTTTTTTTGCCTGTTCAACACTCCAGCCGGTGGATCATCTCATGTGCCATTACAGTGACAGCCCCCGATTATACAAAGTTTATATTCCACTCTGGTTGTGGAGTCGATCGTCCCTGGGGTAACGGGTTGGCAATGACAACTCCAACTTGGCATTGGGCCCTGACATTGGCAGTCGCTCCGTCCATGGTTCAGAATCAGAACGAGGTTGAGACTTTGATCAACCAGAATGAAATCTGGCCCGAATACTTCGAATCGTAATATGTACGCCCGTCGCTGAGCGCTGAGGCTCCGGGTCAACCACCATATCTTATCTGGATAATCATCAGTTACGTAATGCTCCCTAGCCCGTCCGGGGTCCCTCCTATCGTAAATGGCCGTCGGCTAACATTCGGCAGCGGTCGCTAATCGCGGAAATTTGATTGACCGTTCCCTGTTGCAATACGAGTGAATGCGGCGGTAGCCACGACTCGGTCATTTCGCCGATCGCTTGTCGCATCAAAGGCCGGTTGGCGGGCGGCCTAAAAACTCGGTTAGCCTTCATCATTATCAAGGCGGGTGGGGGGTGGCTCTATAAGTCGAACGATCAAATGGTGGCGGGATCAAGGCGGGATTGTGAGAATTCTCTTAGATGCTTGTTCAGATTAGGTCCTTTGAGTCCGGAGTGAAATGACTCTAACAAGGAACTTGAGCTGTGAAAGATATTCCTGGAAAATCGGCCAATAGATTCTAAAAGAGCCGCTGAATCAGTTGAGAATGACAGAGTTTCACGTCGAACGGCTGAAAGTTGAGCTCGATATAGCCGGGCCCGTTGCACCGAAGCCCCGTATATAACCCGGCGTGGGTTCAGGGTGGCTGAATATGGCTACCTCTCTGCCTCTCCTCCTCCTCGTATCCACGCTCTGCCTCGTCCATGCACTCCCCGAGCACTACACCACCATCTCCCGCGACGTCGTCGTGATCGGAGGCGGATCCTCAGGCACCTACGCCGCCGTAAACCTCAAAGCGCGCGGTCACACCGTCGCCGTGCTCGAGCAACAAAACCGGCTCGGCGGACACGTCGAGACATACATCGATCCCTCCACCGGTCAACCCTCCAACCTCGGAGTCATTGACCTCTACAACAACAGCGTCAACAATGCGTATTTCTCGCTGCTCGGTGTTCCGATACGGGCAGTGCCTCCGGCCACGACGCAGAATGCATTCCTCGACTTTGCGACGGGCAAGCCCGTGCCGGCATACGATCCCAACACGCCGTTCCTCCCCGCGCTGGAGGCCTACCTGGCTTATATCACCGAGACGTACCCGTACCTCAGCCTCTCATATGAGAATCTGACCTACCCAGTCCCAGCCGAGCTTCTGGAGCCCTTCACCGTCTTCGCCGCGCGACACAACTTTACCGCCATCCTGCAACTGTTCAATGGGATCGCGGAGAACATTGGGAATCTGTGGCAACTTCCCACTTACCACGGAATCCATGCGTTGGACCCACACATCATCACGGCCATCCTAACTGGATTCGTTAACGCCGCGTCGGGAAATAACCAGGACATTTACAACGCCGCCGAGCGCTTCCTCGGTTCGCAAAACGTGTTCCTCAACAGCACGATTACCGCCGTCGATCGCTCCGGCTCGTGCTTCCACGTACCAGAGCCCGCGGCGGTGTGCGTCCTCTCCAGGGCAGGTAGCACTACGACCCTCACAAAGGCGCGCAAACTCCTCGTCTCCATCCCCACCACACTTGCCTCCCTCGCCTCTGCCTCCATCGATTTAGACACCCACGAACGGGCGGTGTTTTCCCACTTCACGGGATTCACATACGGCGTGGCCGTCGTCGAAGCACCTCACCTCGACGGAAACACGTCGTACAACAACATTGGCACTCACACGCCAGACAACCTCCTCTCCCTCCCTGGTGCTTTCGCAATCACACCAATCGAGCCACACGCAGGCAAGGGCGGAAAGTTCTCCGCCTGGTTTGGCGCGGTGGAGGGCACGGGGTGGACTCCCGAGCGCGTGGAGAAGCTCGTAGCGTGGGACGTCGTTCGTGTCGGTGGAGGCAGTACCGCAGAGGTCACGTTCGACTTTCTCAAAGACCATACGCCGTTCCGGTTGCACGTCCCACCCGCGGCTGTTGCGAGCGGATTTTATAAAGAACTTTACGCGCTCGAGGGGAGGAAGAATACCTTTTGGACGGGTGCGGCATGGGCGGAGGAGGATAGTTCCCAGATTTGGA